TTTAATATTTGATATGCCTCACTCTAATCATCAACATATAAAAGATGACTATTTCCCCGCGATTCTCACCTCAGAGGGCATCGCTTCCTGCACTGTAAAACCTGAAGTAGCTATTTAATTTAGTAGTTGAAATCATCATGGGGCAGCAAAAGCATCATCCACCCACTTGACATAGACTTCATTCTCACTGCTTTTCGACGAAAACAACCATCCAAGAAAACCTTGCAGCCTATCTCGCACCTTGTTCACGCGCTTGCGTTGTCGTATCCGCTGCAAAACCTCCTCTCTATCTCGAGTTTCAGTGGAGTGTACTGGTTTTAGATAGATAAAGCTAGTCACAGAGTTAAGTATTTCCGGGTCCTCGTGATCTTTCGTAGTGTTAGTATTGTTATTGATATCTTCAGGTTTTGAGAGAGAAGATTGGGTTTTAGACACCAAAGAAGACATTGCGATAAATTAAGAAAAATAAAAGTTTGCCAGTAAAATCGGAGAAAGAATCTTAGCAAGATTAGAGACAGGGTGGAGTAACTGGTGCGTTATGGACCAACTGGCGTGTTCTATTTATAGAGAAGGGCGACGAGGGGTTAAGAACCCGTCTAAAAACGAGGAGACGGTGACCTAGACTTGGTCGGTTTGGCTGGTTCGAGGTTGCCTGCCTTGGGAAATGATTTTGGTTTTTCTGATGGGAGGCGGTGACACAGGGACTCGGCTCGATGCTTTTAAAATGGTCAGGAATTTCTTAAATCTGATTGGATCTTTTCTTATCCGCTGTGTCTCACGTGTGGGTTTTGTCGTTTCACCTTAGCTAAGGGATAACAAATATTCAGAGATGAGCTTCGGCAGGAAGCCTGTGTTGTATTCGCATGCACGAGAGCTCATATTCCTTCATCCAATGCACAGCACCCCTTTGTGCCTCAGCCCTGCAGCAAAAAATAAAAATACAAAAAGCTTTGAAGTGGATGCTTTTATTTTTAAAGAAGTGTTGCACGCCGAGTATAGGAATCTGATTCCCATGATTAAGTGCTTAATTATTGATTAAAAAAAGACTTTACTACATCATGTATCTGATTGTCTTAATCATGTTATGTTAGTGATTGATTATCATTTACCATCTCATTTACACCATTCCATTCTTATTCTTCTTTTTCTTTTTCTTCTTCTTAATTAAAAAAATTGATTATCTACTACAATCTTTAAATTTTTTAAAAGTATTAATACAATTTTTTTATATAATAACTAATAGCTGGGATGAGACTCTAAAAAACATGTTTGAAAAAGGGAATTGATAATTTGATATAGATTACATAAATGTTTTTAATTGCAAGAGGTCAAAGTTGCTAAAACTGGGCTAGGGCTAGGGCCAGGGCCAGGGCCAGATAGAGTTGAGACTGGGCCAAACTTCTGTGCTCATCTTTTGCTCATTTGTTTAGAGATTTTCTTGATGAATCATGGGTGGGGTAAAAGTTGTGAAAATAATAATAGATTTATTATAGCTCAATTTTATTTTTGTATTTTATATATACAATGAAATAGGATCAATAAGAATTTAAATAATTTTCTCAATGAAAAATTTTAGTCCACCCAAATCATAAATAAAACTGAAATCAACTAAATTTTTTTTAAAAAAATCTAATTTTATCTCAAGTGACAAAACTTAATCCATTTGAGAAAATATGATATATATCAAAGCGAGAAAACAAAAACAGGAGGAAGACAAAAATAGTAATTTAACTACAAAGTATTTAGCCAAACTAGAGATAAACGGGTTGGATATTTTAAAGATTTGATTTAGATATAAATTAATTAGATCTAATAATTCAGATACAAAATAACTCAGTTTTGTAATAATTTTTTATTTAAGTAAAAAATTATTTTCAGCAAAATAATTTTATACTTTTTTATATGTTAAAAGTTTTAAAAAATAATTTAAATCAATTTATAAAACTTATATCAAATGAAATATAAGTTAAAATTACTTGAAGTGAGAAGTATGTTTTGATAAAAACTTAAACCAAATGAGTGGATTCATCTGTTAGAGAATAATATAAATCATATTCTAGAATCTCACTTAATAGTTTAAATTTTTAGGTGCAAGTTTTAAGCCCGAAGAGCTTTCACTTGTGGGGGTGTGTTAGAGAATAATATAAATCATATTCTAGAACCTCACCTAACAGCTTAAACTTTTAGATTGAGATGGTTCTTTGATACCATCGTGCCATAATATTTTCAACATAGTAGTTGATGTGCACTGTCAAAGCCACATGCATTCACTCTACTACTCGCATAGAAGGTGTTCACGTATTATTTCTTATGCATGATCATTTGGTTCCTAACCTTTCCTACACCATGGTCATTTTGTCTAGAAGTGCTTCCGTTTTAATTCCTTATAACACCTATTGTTCTGTTATGTGCTCTGCATTGTTTTTTTTTTTTAAAAAAGTAATGCCTCTTGCTTAGATATCATGGACATTGTGTTTTTTCCACTTCCAACACTTTCTCCTAGATTTTTCTTCTCACTTGGATTGTTATCAGGACTTTTTTTGTGGGTGTCAGGCTGCTGTTAAATTGTTGTTTTTTTTCCTCTCAGATGGGAAGTTATTACCCTATTCTTTGCTCAAAATTGCAAATTCCATGCTTAGCCTCTTATTAGATTATAATCGATTAATAATTGAAAAAAATATTCTTATGGCATAACATGGGAACTTATCTAGTTTTTTACCAAATGTAATTATAAGTTTCTTTGAATTAAAAGTTAAAAAATAATATAAATTATTTCATAACAATCATATATCAAATCTAACCTAAATATCATGAAAATTTTGCTCAAGGCACAACAAGCCCGATGCTTTCCAAGATCTCCCTGCAATAATGATTTTAATAACAAAGGTTCCTACACTCACACACACAAATATAACTTGTTTGTGATCAAATATAACTTGTTCTTTAGCCTAATGCCAAATACAATGTCCAACATCTATCACATTAGGAGTCTCTTAACCCTCACAATTATACGAAGCAATTTAATGAACTACATCGTGTTTTATTACTATATCAATTATGGACCAAGAAGAATGTTGGGGAATTTATATTTTACCTTTTCTGCCAGAACAAGCTTATATCTGATAAAGGACTAAATTAAAGATGTATTTTCTCAATAAATATATAAATAAAGATTTAGAGTGAAGTCCAGACAAAGAAAAAGAGTATTAGGAATGAAATAATGAACAATGACGATTGATCTAGAGTTGTAACCTGCCAAGTAGTTTTCAGTTGAATTACACACATAATTATGGATGATTATAACATTGAATTCTCAAGTAAATGACTCTTATAAGAAACTAGCAAGCAGAGAGTGTTTTAACAATAATGCAAGCACTAGCTATCCTTCTTTCTCAACTAGCAAACAATACCAACAACATTCATAACTTTCATATATTAAGCTAAAGCAGGTTTTTTTTTACAATAAACAGGGCCTAAGCCTAATGTTAAGATGACAAACAACTCATTCAAAAAAGTACAAGTGATCTAGAGAAGAGTAGCTCATCGAGGATATCCACTCTCATCTCCTTACAACCTCCTTATAATGATCAAAATTAGCAAACCAATCTATACATCTTGTTTTTAATTTAGAATAGATGTGATGAATATGAACCTTCCAAGACTGGTTGGAAAATAAGACATTAGAAAAAATAATAAACAATTTATGTGCATAACTTTCTTTCTTTTGGAAAAGTGGTTTGTGTTTTGATATTCAATATATAGAAATAAAAAAAACAAATGGTACTTGAAGAATATTTAAGGTAAGTCTCTAGATACAAAATACAAAGATAGCATAAGTAGAAGAGACCATATATAATATGAGAAGAGAAGTAGCAAAGACCATATATACTATGAGAAGACATAATATGAGATAAAATTGTATTTGATAATAATATATAAGATAAAGTAAATATTTATGTAAAATATTTAATTGATAAGATACGAGATCAAATAAAATATTTATTTTTATATTTAAAATATATTATTATATGAGAGTTTTTATTAGGTGTCTATAAATTGACTCCTTATAATTAGAGTTTTTGTTTTTATTTGATAATCTTATTTAGTAATTTGATCAAATTATATGTGATTGACATTTTTTTCATTTCTTTTATATTCTCATATTTATTTTATGATTTTTGGTTTTGTATTGCTTAGTTTTCAGATCTAATGGTTGAATTGAGTTAATTATAATTGATAATCAGATCTTAATGCAAAATAGAGATTGAGATTGAGATTATGATATGTCTAAAGGAAGTTGAAAAGAAGAAGAAGAAGCTGGTTTTGTTTCTTTCATGTACCTTGCTTCCCCCTTTCAAGGATATAAAATTGGCTAAAAACTGTCCTTAAAATTGAGAGGAAACCCTTTATTTTTTCTTCGTGACATCACAACCAAATGCTCCCCGTATGAACAACCAAACCCTAACTAATATTTATTCCTTAATTAGTGTTTGTTTTGTTAGTAAACGCCACCCTGGGAAAGCAATTAATGGCAGGAATGGCAAAGTAAACTGAAACAAGTTTTGTTTCAATTACAACAAATCTAACCTCGTCATGCTCTGCCTGATATAGCAAATTTGATCCAACCAGAAAACGTTTATAGTAATCATATATATTTTCAAGTATTCCCATCATTAAAAAAAATAAAAAAGAAACCTCACAAAATTAACAAAATCTTACTGGGCTCTAGTTAATTTAAAAAAAAAAACTATCCAAATGTTGTCCGAAAATAGCAATTAAAGCATCCACCACATAATGAAACAGCCAATCCCAACTAATGAGATTAGCAATCCCTGTTTATCATTGGTATGGAACCCAAATCTCTCTCTTCAAGCAGTCACGAAGCTGAATGTGAACACATGTCAAGATCCCAGGTCCCATATCCTGTCCACCGTTAATTTCCCAGCTATTTATGCATCTAAGAACTCCCTCTCTTCTCTCCCGCCTTCAGTTTCTCTCTTGCTACTAACAGCATTTTATTTCTTTTAATTTTCCAATCAATTTCTCATTTCTCCTTTGTTTTTGACCCTCTTTAGATTTGAGGAAGAATGATGAACGGAGGAAGAGGAGGAATAGGCTCAAGAATGGGAGATGAAGATGAAATAGGCACAAAGTTTGTTGACACAGGAAACCATATGCCGAGATCGAAATTCGGTAACATGATGCATTCTGATCCAAACCTTTCAGCAACAGCAGCGGCAATACCCCGTGATGAAGTTTTCGGCTATCGAAATAGCAGTGCTTCCTTAACAGGTCCCGCCAGTTTTGACCCTAACAGGATGAGCTGTGAGGGGTCTCCTATGACCATGTCACCCTGGAACCAAACCGCTGGTGGTTCCAATTTTCCGTGGTCATTCGAAGAAAACCTTCCTCAAAATGGGCTAATTGGTTCGCTTGTTCGCGAAGAAGGTCACATTTATTCCTTGGCTGCCACCAAGGATCTTCTTTATACAGGTTCTGATAGCAAGAACATTCGTGTGTGGAAGAACTTGAAGGAGTTCTCTGGATTCAAATCGAGCAGCGGTTTGGTGAAAGCCATAATAATTGCTGGTGAGAAGATTTTCACCGGTCACCAGGATGGCAAGATACGAGTATGGAAGGTTATCCCAAAGAATCCAACAATACACAAGAGATCAGGAACATTGCCTACGTTAAAGGAAATACTCAAGAGCTCTATCAGACCAAGCGCGTACGTCCAAGTTCGAAACCGTTCTGCTCTTTGGATCAAGCATTGTGATGCCATTTCATGTTTGACCCTCAGCGAGGACAAAACCCTTTTGTATTCTGCTTCCTGGGACCGGACTTTCAAGGTATGGAGAATCTCAGACTCTAGATGTCTTGAATCAATCAATGCCCACGATGATGCTGTTAATTCTGTCGTGGCGAGTCTAGAAGGCTTGGTGTTCACAGGCTCAGCTGATGGAACGGTGAAGGTGTGGAAACGAGAGCAACAAGGCAAAACGACAAAGCATTCTCCTGTTCAAACATTGTTGAAACAAGAGAGTGCGGTTACATCATTGGCCGTGAACACCTCTGGTTCGGTTGTGTACTGTGGGTCCAGTGATGGAATGGTAAATTATTGGGAATGCGAGAAGCAGTTATCCCATGGTGGGGTACTTAAGGGCCACAAACTTGCTGTTCTGTGCCTCGCAGCCGCAGGGAATCTGGTCTTCAGTGGATCAGCTGACAAGACCATATGCGTGTGGAGAAGGGACGGCAAGCTTCATGCATGCATATCTGTGCTGACAGGGCATACTGGACCTGTGAAGTGCCTGGCGGTGGAGGTGGATCATGAGAAATCCAAAGACGATGATCAACGGTGGGTTGTGTACAGCGGGAGTCTGGATAAGTCTGTGAAGGTTTGGAGTGTGGCTGAGATGGCACCTGATATGTATCAAATGGCCATGATGCAACAGCAGCAGCAATATCAGCAACATATTGGTTCTGATGCAGATTCATTGCCATCTGACGAAAGCAGCAGAGCTGGTAAGAACAGGGGGGAGTAATCTCCAGATCCTTAAACTTTAATGGCAAGATGTAATCAAGATTAATCTAAGTATTAAACATTGTGAGTTAGTGAAACAAAGAATCGAATCCATTATTTCCTTGTTGGGTTTGATTGACAATGGAGGTCTGGGGTTGGGGATAGCCATGATGGGGTCGTCTGTGAGGGAAGAGGAGTTTGGCTGTATTTTTCCAGTAGCATTGTATCGAACGTTGTAAGACTATTGTGGATTAAATGAATGACTGTATGACTATTGACAAGCACATTTTATAAAATAAAGTTGTTCCTCTGATTTGCTTTCTCAAATTGAAAAAACAAGTGGGGCTTGCACGGTGATCATAATTTGTCAGGCTGTTCGATCAAATAAGGTTCGAAGCTCAAGTGTTTTATAATTCAGTAACCTCGCAAATCGAACTTCAATCCCTTCCAGATATTCTGTATTATAAAACAGGTTAATAACACGATGCTATTATGAGTATGGTCGTTTTTTGTGGTTAAAAAATGTTTTTGAAAATTCTAGAAAAAAAATTATTTTATTAACATTTTTTATATTAAAAATAAATTTTAAAATGTGGTTAAAAAATGTTTTTGAAAATTCTAGAAAAAAAATTATTTTATTAACATTTTTTATATTAAAAATAAATTTTAAAAAATAAAAAATATATTTATGAAAACCAACAGCTATAACCAAACAATGCTGTGTAAACAAGCCACTTAATCAGCAATTATCTGACTGATAGATAATTTTTTTTGATGAATAATTAAGGTTGTTTTTTTATTTTATTTATTCTCTGCATGAATTATCCACACCAGACTCTTCCTTCCTTTTTATGCCACAGGCTGAAAATTGTTTTTTGGAGTATATCTGAAGGAAAGAACTGATGGAATCATCGATGACAGTCTCCTCTGGTTACTCTGCCTCAGGTAACACCAAAGATAAAAGACAACTTGAAAAGAGTTGCCAAGGCAGACTAGACACTGTGGAATTACTTGATTCAGCAGGTTGAAGGGAGTGGGCATGGTTTTTTTTTAAAATGAGACATGATGCTTCTGCTCAAAATGCATCCCCAGAGAAAATAAGAAAATTTTTCTTCTTGTTCAAAAGGCGTTACGTTGGAGTTTTCGGCTGCACAATACAAGAAATCAATTTGCATCTAACCTTTACCCTAAATCCATCGGGCTCATATGAGTTTAGATGAACATGAGAAAAATGATTTTTTAAAAAAAAATAATTAATTATTTTTATAAAATAACATTTATATGTTTATATTATAAATATCTATAAAAAAAATTATTCAAGAAAACCACACTCCTCAAAAAATGTATTTTATAAGTCCAGGTGAAAATGTAAAACTCTGTTATCCTAGACTTTTATAAAAAAATACATACTTTAACTTGAACTTGAGATCTGTCATGCAAAATCCAAGCTCTTTGCTATTACGCCATATTTTTGAATGACATTTACAAATTTGTATATAAATAACTAAATTTAATAAAATAAAAAGCCATTAATTACAAAATGTTAAAATAATAAAAGAAAACATCTAATCTTAACACCATGAAATAATTATACATGAAGAAAAGTGAATTTGTCTTAATGAAATAATTCATATGAAGGCGAAAAGAAAAATAATAAGTGACGCCTAAAGCTTTAAATCTTCCAACAATAACCTCTTAGCAATATTTTTGTTAGAGAAGTGAACCTCTAATCCCTCAACTTTTTAAATCTTTTTGTCTTCATTTGAATTCGATCATTATATAATTTAACAAAGTTAAATTTTTAAACTTGCACTCGTACATGAACAAATTATGCTAAAAAAATAACTAGTAATATTTTATTAATTATTTTAACTTACATAATAATTTATTTAAGTGTTTTTCAATTGGATGGATGTAGAGAAACCCAAGAAACTAATTATGGCAGAACACAATTTTAAAATCAAAATAATTGATATATAAAAGAAAATGAAAAAGAAAATTGGAACCAAGTGCCCTAAC